AGCACAAAACGATAATCCAGCGCAAAACGATATCCAGAACAAACAATATCCAGGACAAAATGATAATCCAGGACAAAACGATAATCCAGCACAAAACGATAATCCAGGACAAAACGATAATCCAGGACAAAACGATAATCCAGGACAAAACGATAATCCAGGACAAAACGATAATCCAGGACAAAACGATAATCCAGGACAAAACGATAATCCAGGACAAAACGATAATCCAGGACAAAACGATAATCCAGGACAAAACGATAATCCAGGACAAAACGATAATCCAGGACAAAACGATAATCCAGGACAACATGATAATCCAGGACAAAATGATGATCCAGCACAAAACGATGATCCAGCACAAAATCCTCCTGAACCACATGCCCTCATCAGCAGGTCTGCAACTAGCATATCTTTCAACGAATCAGTAGATGGCAGTAACAGTCTTAATGGGCAAAACCTCCCTCAAGGAATGAGCACTGTGGGTGATATCGATCCTGACCAAACACCTGAGGTACAAACAAGTTTCACCCGCAAAATACATGACAAATTTGACATCAGAAGAAGGCTGGATTTTGGTGGAGACAGTCAAGGAACAGACATACAATCATACCTAGGCCTTGGTGCTATGGAATTGCAACCCACATCTACATATATACATGTAGATGAGGGATACATTGGTGTAGAAGGCACAAGGAGGCCTAGGCCAGAAACAGAGGATACAGTTGAGATTGCATCAGAAACAGATGCTAGTACACAAGGCCCTAATGGCCAAAACTTCAATGAAGGATTGAACACAACACCAACTGGAGGGGAAACTGACCCAAAAATGACTGGGGAACAAGCAGGTGAAACATGCTTATGTGGCCAAAAATGCAAGGGCAAGGAAGAACTTAGGAGACATCAAATCATGATGAGATGTTTGGAACAAATACATGAATGCATATGTGGCAAAAATTGCACAAATAAGGCAGGACTTAAGTCACATCAGAGATGGAAGGAATGTCTGGAACGAATATGTATATGTGGCAAAGAATGCAAGGACAAGGAAGAACTTAAGACACATCAAACCATGATGAAATGTCTGGAACGAATATGTATATGTGGCAAAGAATGCAAGGACAAGGAAGAACTTAGGAGACATCAAATCATGAAGAGATGTCTGGAACAAATACATGAATGCATATGTGGCAAAAATTGCACAAATAAGGCAGGACTTAAGTCACATCAGAGAATCAGATGGAAGAAATGTCTGGAACGAATATGTATATGTGGCAAAGAATGCAAGGACAAGGAAGAACTTGAGACACATCAAACCATGATGAAATGTCTGGAATGAATATGCATATGTGGACAACTATAGCATGAAGCTATATGCTAAGTGTAACAAAAAACAACTGTATTATATATTACATATTTGTACATGTACATTGTACCTACCAGAAAACTGCCTAAAGCAGAGTTGAATATAGCTGCTGCCTGTAAACAGAAATTAAATATATTTGTTAATCAGAGACAAGCTAGGCAGGATGGTAGAGGGTATAAGGAAAACTATTTGTGGATGATGTAAATTGGGTCAATAGTTGAATTTCTTTTTGTGTTTTTCAGTAGTAGGATAGAGAAAGAACAAGAATAACATACTATACAATGTATATTAGATAACTACTAAAATATCCTTATCCTTCCTTATTTGTATTACTACTTTAATCAATCTATTACGATTGTGTTATAACCAAGCCCATTGTTTTGTAGCTTTCTGTTGTTTAATTAGACAAGCAAGAGTCAAATATCAAACTTTACAGAGACAGAGGCAGTTAAGTAGGGATCTCTACCAGTATAATCACTGATTCTCGTCTGTACCCTGACATATACATTTAACAACACTTTGCCTGAAAGGTGTAAAAATTTTAGTTCTTTATTCACAACAAAGGATTTTACAATGTTTCGTCTGCAATACTACTGAGTCGGTAGTTAGTATTTTCTTGAGGAAGGTACAAATCTAGATAGACAGTCAACGAAACATTGGCTTGCAATAAATTTCTTGGTTGTGAATAAAGAACTTTGCTTCACAGTTATTTACCAACCTAAAGAAACTACAATGTATGTGAGTTTGCCTGAAAGGATTACCTCATTGCCTCCTACTGCCTTGGTGAGAATGACTGCTGAAGAGACTGGTGGGGGCATGCAGCCGACAACCATCAGCCTGGGAAAGACAACCAAACTTTTTGAATAAAATCATCATACAATACAATGGTTGTAACATCACCAAACAGATAAAGTGACAAACAGATGTTAAGTACATGTATATTGTATTTGCATGCCCTTTTGTATGTTAAAACATAAGTAAACTTCTGTAAAGTGCAACATTTTAATTCTGCATAATTCACTCTACTTTGACATAAGACATATTTGCTACGGTACCATAAAATTACTTTTAGTAAGTTAGTGTAAAGCCAATGTTATCCTTACTATGTTTACCTTACCATGTTTTGCTCAGGAAATTATTGTTCTTTTTATTCTTACAAACTCATATATATGGCGACCAGCCTCTCCATGCCGCTTGCTACATAATGTACACTTCGTAGATTATACTAGCACTAGTTACGACAGTGACAGCATCTGGTCCTGGTCATTAACCTATTTTTTTGGAGAAGGAGAAGAAATTGAACAACAACAATATGTTTTCCTTCTGCAAAGGTTTATAACAAAGCACCTACCCTTTAAGCAGCCAGGGGTTGATCGGTGAGTACTGTAGACCCTTAATGAGTACCCTGATGAGACAGGGGATGAACACAAGTGTGAAGGTCTGGATGAAGCCATGTAGCTTCACCTGGAACAGCGCACTGGTCAAGTCCTAAGGGGAAGGTACAGCATTTTAGCATCCATACCACATTCTGTACTTAAGTTAGTGACTTAACAACTGAAAATGTGTCAGTATAAACTGGATGAGAGTTCTAGCAAAGTTTGAAATTTTCTAGCCTGGGTACCATCCGGATTTTCACTCAGCAACGCTCAAAAATAGATTTGAAGCGTTGCGGAGCAAAAATCTGGATGGTACCCAGGCTAGAAAATTTTCCCTCATATCAATTTTGGGAATGATGTTAAGGGCCTCTGGTGCTAGAGGCATGACAATCCTATGGGGGGTAACAAGGCTATCCATGTAGCCAAACCTGAGATTTGTATTGAATATGATGGTTTATGAACAAGTATCTCACTCAGTGAGTTGACAAGTGATTGACACACTTACACTTAACCCATTTAAACAGTACGGTCTTTATTGTCACTTTCACTTTTTCTTTAAAACTCTATATATACGTTTATAGATATTTGAATCTGGTCATAAACAAAACATGCAGAGGATGTATAACGTTGGAAAAAACTATTTTATAAAATAGTCGTCTGTCTGAACAACTGTGCCACGTATAACCTGTTAGACAAATATTATTGTCTAATATAAACAGGTAACGCTACTAGTACACACCCACCTCGGTCTTGAGAGACAGACCACTGTTAAAAAAAATAAAGGAGACAGCGAAGTATTTAACAGTGTATTCCGGCTTCAATGGTCCTGGAAAAAAAAGAGAGAAATTATTTGAAAGACATTACAGACAATTCCAGACACGTAGAATAATTTACTGAGAATCACCTGTGTGTATTTAATTCGCCCCCCTCCCCACCTGACAACGTGTCACTAAACCGGCGTGAAAAACCTTGACCGAACTTACCTCCTTTTACGCCCAAACTCGGGTCCACTTTTGCCATAGAGATAACAAAAACAATTCCTAACAGGAACCATTCTTTCTTGACCCTTTCTATTACACCCATGTCCAAATTCTGCAAGTTTATGCAGTTTGCCGGTTTATTTTGCACAGAACTTCTTGAATGATACCTGTGGACTACTGGCACCGAAAGTCAACTCAATACTTCTGCGCATAAACAAAATAGTACGCAAATTGCTCCTTTTCTATCTTGCTTTTGTATCAAACTTACGCCAGTAAAATAAGCTAAAATGATCACTGAATAAGTTTATTGCATTTAAAGTGAAAATTTGAGGATAAACCCATTTATTTATGATTTATACTGCGGATTGATCTTTTGAGGTCACAGTAAAAATTTAGAGATCGTCCATGATGGCGGCGGACCGGTCGACTGGGCAGACGGCAACCTTCGCCTTCACCCTTCCCATATCCTGTCAGATTTGCCTCGGAAAGGTAATATTTTGCTGCATAATGTTCAGAGGACTCTCTTCCAAATATTCTGAGAGGAAGTAGTGCGAAAAAGACAGCGGATGGGTGTGTATTAGTCCTAGAATTGCACGAATTATGTGGAGCGTGTTGCATGTTGTTGTTTTTGTGGCGGCTAAATTTGAATGACAACGCAGCACTTGACGTCTTGACACATTTTATCTCACAGACAACAGGCATCTTGTAGACTGAGTGACTCTAAAACCAGCTTAAAGGTTGAAATTTTTATGTACAGAAATCTATGTAGTGTCACGTTTACATTGTAATTATGTGAAGGAATTTACCGTTGCTCTACTGTGTAATTAATTTTAACGAATTTTGAAAGAACGTGTGTCGTCGATAAGGTTAGAATTTACAATTCATTTATTATTGTCCTTGTTCATTTTTGGCAAGCACTCCTTTTTATTTTTACTTACCAACCTACCTTGTGATCTCTATGAATACATGTACATTCTTTTGGTTCATGTTGAAGAAAAGTGCAACCTTCCAGATGTAACTTTGTTATTTTCAAATGAATCATATTTGTTAATCGTTTAACATTTGACAGTTTGTATGTGGTAAAAATTAAAAAGTCAAAAATACAAGGTGACAGTTGTCAAGGCAATGGCAAGTTGTAATAGTGTACATGTGTGGCATGTTATTGTAACATCAAAAATAAATCAGTGAAACAACTTCAAACAGCCATGGTTTATTGAAAGATAATTGTTATTTTTCAGGTAAAGCAGCCAGTGGTGTGCCCGAACCAGCATGTGTTCTGTCAGCAGTGTATGGATGTGTGGCTCATGCACAACCAGCAGTGTCCAACATGTCGGGTGGAGATCAGCGTCAACAACCCCTGCAAGAGAGTCCTCGGTAATTACATGTAAAACCTTTCTTGTTGAAAAACAAACTGATCAATCCACTGGGCTGGAATACCATTCTACATATGCAGGGTATATCAGGTAAATTGGACTTTGGAGCTGTGCAGGTATTTGTCAGGTGCACTGGTAAACATCAGAAAAACCTGTACAGCTCCAGAGTCCAGTTTTACCTGCACTTAAACCTGCATATATACACAGTACATGGACCAGTGCAGGTTAGGTGCAGGTAGACATCAGAAATACCTGCACAGCTCCGATTTAACCTGCACTAACCATACCCAGTACATGGACCAGTACAGGTTAGGTGCAGGTAGACATCAGAAATACCTGCACAGCTCCGATTTAACCTGCACTAACCATACCCAGTACATGGACCTGTGCAGGTTAGGTGCAGGTAGACATCAGAAATACCTGCACAGCTCCGATTTAACCTGCACTAATTAAAATATAACCATATACCCGGTACATGGGCCCGTGCATGTAGACATTTAGAAATTATCACAAATTCCTGCGTAGCTCCAAATTTACATTGTGCCTGTACACCTACATCAAGCAGGTTGGATTGCACAAAGGCTGGCGACCCTCTCTATCATGTGTGTTTTTTTCCTACTGAGCCATTTCTACCATTCCATTCCAGCATTCATGATTGTTTTGTTCCTTAATATACAGGAGGGCTGAGTGGAGGGGAGGAGAGCAGTGACAGGGACAGCTTTTCGACTAAGGAGGTCCGCAAGGCTAGGCTGGACGTCATCTTCAACGAGTATGAGGTCAGTAAAGACAAGTTATGGCATACTAGTACATAAGTTTGACTAAAAATTGCACTGAGAGAACCACAAGGCTAATCTCAGATAAAAATAAAATGGGTGAAATAACTCAGACGCTACATGACACAACAGAAAACATGAAATTTCATTACTTCACAACATGGTTCATAATTTTATGTTGCTCGCATTGTACTTTTTTCATACCTAGTACTACTACCAGTACTGTGAGTAGTAGTAGTACAGCCCCATTTTACAAAATCAAATCTACAAAGATGTCTGCGGGGAATTTTTGCTGGAAAATCTAATACTATGCTGAAGCTGCATGCAGCAAATGTAGGTATGCTAGTATTTGTAATAATTTTATTGTTTGTGCACTTATTTTCACAATTGAATTTCCTTCCTTCCAGCACGACTAAAGCCACATCCATAGAATATGACAATGGCACCGTACGTTAAGGAGTTTAACACTTGGTAAAAAAAAAGCCTCACTTCTTCTCTTCTAGATATCTGCAAAGGAGAAGACCATTCAATCTTTTTATTTTCAGTCTTATTTCTTTATCAGCAGGAAAGTTGATTTTCTATGGCTTAAACTTTCTAAAAACTGTTTTTTTTCTTTCAGAGAGAGATTGACAGACTTCAGTCTGTTATTGAAGACCTCCATAGAAAAACAAGGGCCTACAACAGCAGGTGCCAAACCAAATCGGCATGTCTGGTGCAAAACCACAGAAAAACAAGGGCTCCGATGTGGATACCCTCTTGCAGCTTACGTCCAAACTGCAGGATGCTACATCAACATACGAGGCTGTGGTGAGAGACATGGCAAAGCTGAAAGAGGTAAGAAAAGAACATACATGAACTTGTTAGTGGTATGATGTATATGTACGTTATAAAAGTTATTGAAATATGCTAAATTTACAGGTGTGGCCCAAGTAATGCTCATTCTTAAGGAAGTTTACCAGTTATGGGAAACAAGTGATTTAATAAACAAAACAAAATTATAATGATATTGCAGGAAAATTCTGTTCTAAGAGAGAAGAACTCAGACCTGAGTAGAATGAATGACCAGTTGAGGATGGAACTAAACAAGAGAACCCCACAAAAGTGAGTATGATGTGGTGTAGAAATCATGGTTTTTGGATGCAAGATTGATGCAAATGTGACTCTTAACTGTACAATCTAGTAACAACATGAAACATACATGTAGCACTCCTGGCATGGTACCTTTCAAATCTGAAAATGTATCCAGATTTAAAGCAACCAATATGTTCTCTTACCTATCCTTCCAGGTATGGGCGGTATACTGTTGCAACTCTAGAAGCTAAGGTTGCTCAGTACGAGAAGGAAAACGCACAGTTTCACAGAGCTTTGGAAAGAAGTGACAAGTACACAGAAGAATTGGAAAAACGGTTGCAAGACTGCAAGAAAAAACACAGTCTGCAGAATGAGCAGAGGTAAGGAGTAGTATGGTACTTGTATTACCCTGGTTATGTTCAGTCTTTTTGCAAAACCTCAAGATCAGCAAGTTGGGAACCCTACTTGATAATGAAGATTGAAGAGCATCTGTTTGGGCATGTTAGCAGAGCATACTGCACCTGCGCAAAACCACAGTTTACAAATTGGATGTTTGTCAACGTAGCATCAGAATTTTGCCTGTTGTAGATGATATCTGCTCCAACACAACATTTGAAAACTATAGACGGGATGTCATCCTTGAATATGGGAATATAACCATAAATAAGGGTTTTGCACTGGTGCAGTACATTCAGCCGACATGCTCGTTGTTTGGTGTTATTCTCCCTTTCCATGCATGTAATTCATTTGGTATTTGATTTCTTCGTCTTCTGTCTTTCAGAATATGCAAGGAAACTTCAAAATTCAAAACACCAGAGCTTGACGAGGAGGATAAATGTCCAACAGAGAGGAAATGGAACCAGGGGAAGCTTGACCAGTCCAGGGAACACCAGGTCTCTGTTTCCTCTAGTGAAAGAAGACACCTCCCTGATCCCGAGCTCAGCCCCATCTCCCGAACTCTGCAGTTCATGAGGAATCCAGCAGGGGGCAGTAATGATCTGGTGCCCAGCTGGCTTCGTACAGATCAGAATTGGCCAGAGGCTGAACCTAAGCAACCCGAGGCTAGTCCAAACCGGCAAGGCAACGGGGATAGCTTCGTTTTAGAGCAGCCAAGTCCATTGACCCCTGCAACTCACATGAGGCACCTTTCCATAGGGCACAAATCTGAAAGCCTTTCTCAGAACAGAATGGACACAGACACTTCCTACAAGAACGAAGACACTTACGGCAAGAGAACCGGAGATCACAGTCACTCCAGCAGATCTTCTAACAACTCTGGGATAAATGTTTCCAGTAATCAACATGGAGGAAGCTACGTAGCCAATGACAGACCAGCAAGACTGCCGTCACCCGTTGGGCAGTCAGAAGGGTCTGTCACGAGTAGCGGAAAAGCAAGGCGTAAGTTGAACCTCGGGAATGATGGAGAGAGAGTCAAGAAGTCACTGTTTCCTCCAAGAGAAACGAACACAGAAGAACAGACTTTCAGCCGGTACACTTCTCAAGAAGCCAGGGATGCCTCTAATTCATCCAGTAGTACTGGCAGCTGGACTGACAAAGCTTCTACTTCTAATAATTGGACAGACAAAGCTTCTACTTCTAACAATTGGAAGCAGAACAGAAGTGGGAGCAGTGGGAAGAAAGATGATCTCCTCCTGGGCTCAAGAGATAGATCTGGACAGTTTACCAACAGACCCCAAAGTCTTTCCTCAGAGCAGTTGACAAAGAACTACAACGGTTTGAATGAGAAGGGTAGGGAAACTAGCATACTGCAAGGCCCTAGTAGACCAAGTACCTCTGCCAGTCTAAATGGTCAAGAGGATACGAAGAAAAGAGGGAAGTCCTTCCAGTGGCTGGCTGAGAGTCCCGAGGGATCGGATGATGAAGACAGGGAGGTCGCCTCGACAACAGCCAACCAGTCGCTGCTCGACCTTGACATCACCTTGACCCCAAACATGAAGGACGTTTACATGATGATGAAACAGGCTGAGAGGAGAGTAGGGGAGCGGAGAGAGGTTTGTGTAGACTTGTCCAAACAGCGACCCTCTTCACACGATGGGCGTGGAACAGCAAAAGACTTTGATGTTGGCATGCCTCAAGAAACTTCCAGGCAGAAAACTGGCACACATTTTGAACCCAAACCAAAGATGCCTCGTTCAAGTTCAGCTCCCGTTTTAGAGAACACTGGCAGCGGAGGGAGTATTTCTCAGAAGCCAGACGTTAAGAACGAAAGAAGAAGGAACATGTCCCAGCTGCAGTCTACTTCATTATGGCAAAGCAGTAGCACCTGTGGAAGTACAACAAACAATGTACAGGACTATAACCAAATGGTTGAACAAGAGGATAAGACTTACACAACAGACAAAGACAAGCTGACCAGGAATAGAAGCTGGGACCGAGAATATGCTGGAAGGCACACAGAGGCCAATGCCATAACACATCCCTGGGCTTTCAGAGACTCCTCAAGTAGTTTCCATACTGCCGAAGGTGACCATACCTTCTCAAGAGGTAGAGTGACTCAAGGGCAAACTCAAGTCCGAGTGCCTGAAATCAAAAAGCCTATGCACCCTACTATGTTTGAGTGCTTCGGAGAGGGACCTAGCAGTGATAGGAGCACAGACTCTGATGTAGGAAGGTCTCTGTCAGGGTACAGTGGAGTGCTGGATAGAGAGAATGAGGGAGAGAATGTAAGGAAGAGAAAACCAAGAGAGTCATACTTATTGGCAAGTCCATCAAAGTCTCCCAAATGGAAGTGACTGACTGCAATGCATTTAGGCTAGTCTTTGAAATTTACAAAAACTGATTGCAGACCAGTTTGCAAAAATGCATTTGCACATAATTATAAGGATTAGAAATAAGAAAACTAAGCTAGATGCTTACAAGTTACATGTATTTTTAGAAAGTTTCAGAAAAAAACTTGCATAAGAAGCAAGAAATGAATTGGCCTGAATGACCTACTGGCTTGTTTCAGTTATCTAATTTTTTTTATATTGTTTTCATGCACATTTTGTGACCATATTTGGATGTATTCTTCAGTGCAGTACACAACAGAAGTTTTGATACTTTCCTTCCTTCCTTCCATATCTGGCCCTCAAATAGTAAATACATTTGTACATGTATGCTGGGTGATTAGGCCATTTGGCTTCTAATGTTACAAACGATATTTTAACCATTTTAGGTATAACGTATTCCAGAGATATGGTAAGTTAAAGGTCTTAAATTGCTTTGCCATTTTTTTGCTACAAGTTGAGGCAAGATCTACCTTTATTCTGTGATATCTGGTAATTGGTGACACTTTTATGTCTTCACAAACAATGCATTTATGCGGTAGTCTCCAAACAAATCACAACACTAATAATTAAAACACCATGATATTTTCTATTTTACTGTATAACCTTACTTACAACCTCGTACTTGAACCTCAAGTCACTCTTTTTTTCAAGATGAACCCTTGATCGCAACGTCTATCCTTCAATACTAAAATCTTTATCTGACATGAATTAATGCTGTGGAAGGGTTTTGATTTTACATAATTGAAATCCACATCTGAAGTCATCAGCTGGCAACAGCCGGAAACGCGTACCATACACATTCTGTCCACCATATATCAGCGGCTAATTACATGGCTAAAAACCTACATTATATCCCCTGGCGTCTGTTATACACACCATTACCAAGTTAATGCCCTCAGCCACAAAAAACAAACCCTACGGTACATTACGGAACATAATGGGGGATAACAGATTGCGGTAGTGGTCCGACTCCCCATGAGGCTAGACAGGGGGTTATGGAAGGTAAACTGGACACTTACATGTAGGTTTAGTAACGGCACGGTAACAAACGTTGTAGATCGTCGCACTTTTTGTTATGCCGTAGGACCCTCAAGCAGCCTTTGGCCGTAATTCAACCACTGACAATAAGGCAGCCTTTTCCGTCACAAAACAGCTGAATTTTGCAGCACACGAGCACGACTATCCCACGAATGTCGGGCCTCAGTTTGCGACGATCGTACAACGATCCCGCGACGTATGTTACCGGGCCCTAAGAAAAGTCCTCCAGTTTTGCAAAGTAAAAAAAAACATACACATCATAAAGCGATAAAGAACTATATCCACGGACATTCTAGCTTAGGATACCGTATTCTTCACATACCAGTATACCATCTTTTAATACTATGAAACATGCTCTTGAGGGTTTAGAATAGATTTCATCCCCCCCTTCCCCCAAAGCGTCTCTTAATTTTGCCTGCAGCAAGTATTACCACACCCCAGGTGCGCACAGTTAGCCTTTTACGTCCGGAAAGTGCCGATATCTAATTTTCATGATCCCAGACTGCAGAAGTTGAGAGATTTGCCCTACAGGCAAATGGGACAAATGGAAAACGTCCCGCTACGAAACTCTAGAAGGTAGCACGCATGGCTTGGATTGCACAAAACCAGCTTATATCCAGCAGTGAAGGGTTTGTGTTCCTTTTTTTAGATTCAATCTGGGCAAAATTCGGCCTGAAAATTTAGTTCTTTTGAAGTTAAATAGACAAAGAAACAATTCTTCTTTCTACAGACTATACAACATCGCTTAAAATGGTCAATTTTTTTTAGACTGGAGTTGTACAGTCGAAAGTGTGAGTCCAATTTCCGATGTTGGAAACAACAGTTCTAACTTGCTTCATAATGATTTTTACGAACACAAATGAACTTTCAAGATAGTAACATTCTTTGTCTGTGATATTGGATCTACTCCAACGACATATTTGCCCTTACGAAAATAGTTGTCCCAAATATTAGTGTATTTTCTTGTTAAACGAAGCCCCTACAGACGTGATGTTGCATAAGTTACACAACAGGTTTGCCCTGCAGCTATGCGCGCGTGGGACACCAGGTGGTAGGGTCTGTTCCAGCCCCGTGGAAAAACAGTTATGTTCTCCATGGCATGAATCTGCTGTAACTAACTCAGCGAAAGACATGCATAGTCTCTGACAGACTCTATAGGCTGACAGACTATAGCCTATAACAGACATGTAATAAGGCCGGTCGGTAGGTATAGAAATATGTCGATTACTAGTACATCTTGTACATGTATGTTGATAAATGTAACTAAATGAACAAGAGATACGTATAGTCTCCAACAGACTATAGGCTGGGGGATATAGTCTCCAACAGGCTCATGTGGTCGGTAGGTATGAAAAATATATTTTGCTAATACGTTGATGAACGTATAAATAATGGTAGATAATACACACATTTAATTCAAACAGGATAACTTACGAAGATTATTTCTGGACGTTTTGAGTGCCACCCTTCACTCTTCTTCAGCGTTACTAATATTAAATAACTCTTCATACTGTCAAAATAGAAAAAAGGGCTGGCTTTGGTAGTGACATAGCTTGATAATTTTCAAGCGTTCCTGATTTAACAATGCTATCCACGGATTTGATCCCAGTTTTGCAAAAAAAAGCGAACGGATAAAGCAATTTGCTACTTGCCGCTACTACGTAAGTTTTGTTGCAGAATGATGACGTCCCGAAAATATAAGTCTCTTCCACAACTGAACTGAGACTCCCCATTTCCAAGGTAGATATAGGATTTTCTATCTCTATCTACGTTATTCCTCCCTTGTGACTTTGACCAAAGCTGTATCTGAATACACCAAGGTCATTTTCATTCTGATATAACGATTTCTGGTGCTTTGAATTAAAGTTGCAAAGCAATGCACAGACTCGGAGCAAATTACTGTAAACAATCCGTCGGATCAAAAATCCCCTCATTTCGGCTGTCAGAAATAGTCAGCGTCACCAGATCACACGCATAGCCACATGAGCAGTTATTCTATACCATATGAAGGGGGATCGAGAAAGAACCCAAATAAATATTTCACTGAGTCTTTTGAAAACTTATCCCCCTAAATGTGCGCCCATCTAAAATTCATCCTACAAAGTGAAGTGTGTATATAAGGGGAAATCTTCGTTTTTCGGCGGGACATTCTGGGCTGTGCCGGTCGGGGAGGACCCGGGTTGTGGTTTTTGCTGGGACGGTTTTTGGGGGAGAGTTAGACGGGGTACTACTCCCTACGTGGTGCGGCAATGATGGAGTTTTTCTACCGCTGTTCGTGAGTTGATCTCTCCCTGCATGTTTGATATCGCTCCTAGTGCGTTATGTATGCATATAGACGTATAAATGGTAACGACCATCAAGGCACTATGTACATGTACTGAGAGACTGTATGTTTTAGACTTAGAATATGTGTGTTCGGTATTTGAAATGTTTTATTTTTTGTCATTTGTGTGATAGTTCTATGAATGCATTTCATTGATTGGGGTAGAATTTTTCGATACTGAAAACCATACTGAAAGAAAGCGTGCGTGCGTTTTTGTTGTGTACATGTTAAAGATTTCTATCATGGCCCAAAGTCGTAGTGATTCGAATAAATGTACATTGTGTGATGCAGTGAATATGCTACTAAAGCGTTCAAATACTTCTCTATGACGAATACGAAAGAAGGAGAGGTAGAATGGCATATAATATATACGACGTCATCGGTGCCGCACAGCCAGCCACAGCTGCGACCATTTGGCATTTCCCACACATCTCAACCGGCAGCGCCGCTTAGCGGGAAATATTTAAACTGCAACGTACATGTATCTGGTTATATCACTTGCGAAGTACTGTACAGTATAAACTTGTATAGTACAGAGTATAAGGAGAAATACCAGGTGACTTCACTTGACCATAAAAGGCAGTTTGTATTGAGCAACAACAAAAAAAACCCGCGCACCTGGCTAGAAAGGTTAAAAAGGCTGACACTCAGGCTAAAAAAAATGCCCTTCTAACCCGCTGCAAGGCCGTTGGGCGGTCATAAAACAACATAATTCTCAAATCTGATTAAGCAAGTTCCATCCTCACATCCTTGGCAGTAAATAGACGTATAATCAAATCAGTAACAGTAAGTTCAAGGCTGCTAGACGCCGCCGATACAGAAGCGTTCCTTATTCTCCTAAGCTCGCTACCAGGCGATACAGCAGTCACGTTAGTTAGCCCCGGAGTGCAGGCCACTTAGGGCCTGTCATATATCTCACGACATTCTTTGGACAGACGCCCAGGAGGGGCTCCACCACTGAGCGCATCACTCGTTCCAGTAACAAACTGACCCTTACCAAATGTAGAACTGAGCGGTACAAACAGAGTAGCGTCCCATACATGACCTACCTCCTGAACAGTCACTATTTTTGTTAGACACCGTACGTTAAAGTCGTTGTAAATAATGCCTGTGTTAATGCCTGTGTAAATAAATGTAAATAAATGTGTAATGAATTTGCATGTACAACTGGACGCAATTCAGCCTTTGGCTGCAAAGTCCACGTTTTTTTTACGAATAAAACACCATTTGATTGATTGATTGATTGATATGTCATACAGAATATACAGCCGTATTCTTCTCACAGTGAGAGCTACTCTTACATCACAGGAACTGTTTGACTTGGGATCTTTCCCCATTTCACTATTTCTGAATAGAGTCAATTCTAAGTCACCAAGACGGTTTTAAAAATGATAAGTGTAATAATTTTGAACTACGTACTTGGAACATTTTCGTCACAAAATTTATGATCTTTCGTAACTAGAATACGATAATTAAATGTAATAAAATGTTATTTTGTAGGCATATTAGAATGTATAATCTTGGGCTTTAAGCTTTGAATGCTGTCTAATGTCTGTCAGTGCGAATTATTGCCATAACCTCTAGTTCCTAATAATGCCACAATGAATAGCTGTTTCTTGTAAAGTAGTTTATATATATAGTTGGGCTCTTTGTCAATTGTTCTCACCATAAGAACTGAAGCGTCTGCTTG